AGAAAATATGAATCGTCGGCAATCTATAGAATTTGAGGTAACAGAGGTAGAAAACAAAATTCTTCTTATGATTACTATATTTTATGCTCAAATCGGTTATCTATTTTTTTTTAAACCGTCCTTGGTATGACGATAAACTACATCCAGCAGTAAGGCATTTGATTAGGTTTGAGGAGCGTTAAACCACCTCTTAATTGCTGCTGTTCCCAGTTTCACACGGGGCGGTAAAATCTGTCAGTGTCCCAGATATGGGCAAATACTTAACGACCCCAAAACTATGAAAATATAAAAATATGTTTCAATACCAGCAATAAATTTTTGGAAAAATTATTACCAACAATACATTTTTGAAGAAAAATTATTCCTTGCAATACGTTATTACCAGCAGTACATTTAAAAAATATTACCACCAATACATTTTTGAAGAAAAATTATTCCTTGCAATACGTTATTACCAGCAGTACATTTAAAAAATATTACTACCAATAGATTTTTGAAAAAAAATATTGCCATCAATAAAAATCTTTTCGGCATTAAATAAACGGTAAAACGGTAACAGAGGTTGATAAGCGGTAAAACAAAACAATACAAACCAATCTTTTTTGAAAACTTTGCATAATTTGCCATTTATAAACGCAATGAACACGATGCGTCTAGAGATGAACTGCGTGAGAAAACATGTGTGCTTGATATAAAAAGTTTCCATTTCCAGTAAAGCGATAAAGTCATGTCAGCATTTTAATTAAATTGCAGTAAATTGTATGGCCAATAAATAATTACTTATGCTTTTTTTTTTTTTTGTTGTTCTTTATATGAAAATTGGGGAAACGAACAACATGAAGACGATTATGAATTTTGTCTGATGGAATGTTTTTTTTTTTAAATTTTTTCACCCAAAAAGACAATAAAGCCACTAATGACGCAAGGAGGTTACTGAATGTGAAAGATTATGAGAAAAAAGAAAAATGAATTATTCAGGTGCGAGAACAATAAAAGAACATAAAATTAAAAACAGAAAATAACGATTGAAATTGCATTCTAATTTTTGAAGATCAAAGTTGGCTGGAAAGCAAAGATGCCAGAAACGATTTCCACAAATGAGAAGGGCGAGAGAAGAAACTGTTAGCCATTTTTAATATAAATTGATGAGATGTTTCTGCCAATATAAAATTCATAAAGGCAGGATAACATAGAGGAAAAATTATCATGAAGGTATTTATTTTAAAAAAAAAACCAAAAAAACATTACGGCGGTGGGAAAATGACTGAGATACTAGGTCAGGACCAATGGCATTGGTGATTCTTCTACATATATATTGGGAGCACTAGATTAGATGCGGCATCAATATTCAAAGCATAAGCAAATAGCAAAATTATAAATATGTAAGATAGATTCAGGAAAGAACATTTGTCTTGCACGACATAACCTTCTTTCTAAGCAGTAAACCTAGCCATTGATTTAAGCTAATCTTTCCAGAATCTGTCTATATTTCTGAGATGAGGTATTATGTTCACTATTTACATTATTAGGACTATTGTCCTCATCTTTGTCGCCATATTTATTACAACGTTTTGGCACTCTCAGTAGTCAGAGAGAGATTGGCCTCTGACTCATCCCTAGAAGAAGGGACCAGTATTCCAATAGATAATCTGACGGAGATATTGACTTTCTGTACACAAACAATACACTTCGGAATGGGATCACACATATATCGACAGGATGAGGGCTTAGCAATGGGCTCGCCATTATCACCAGCAATGGCGAATATATACATGGAATACTTTGAGGAAATGGCATTAAAATCTACATCTCTAAAGCCAACTCTATGGTTAAGGTACGTAGATGACACCTTCATACTCTGGCCACACCAGGAAGATGTTCAGGTTCTACTGGACCATGTGAAGACCTTCGATACAGTTCACGATGGAGAAAGAGAGTAACAACACATTCCCATTCTTAGATGTTCTGATATCTCGAACAGAACATGGGTTCATGACATCCGTATACCGTAAACCGACATTCACTGAACAGTACCTCTCCCACCATCCATACCGCATAAAGAAAGGGATTATCCGCTGCTCACACCGAGCAAAAGTCATAAGTGGCGACCCAGAGACATTAGATAAAAAAATTGGTGAGTTTAAGTAGTACCCTACAACGTAACAACTGCCCTGGGTGTATGGTAGCAGTCCCCAAAAAACTGGGATAGGCGGGTACAAGAGGAAGACAACGACACTCAGAAAACAGTCTGCCAGCTTTATGTGAAGGGGTTATCAGAGAAAATACAAAGGATCTGCAGGCCATATAACATCAGGACAACCTTCAAAAGCTTGACGACACTTCGCAGATATCTCTCCCGAGTAAGGCCCACCATAGAGGAGGACATGACTAAAGACTGTGTGTACGCTATCCCGTGCAGCTGCAGAAAAGAAACATAAAGGGGAGACTGGCTGTCCTCTTAAGGTAAGACTTCAAGAACACCAGAAAGCTGTAACACGGGGGGGGGAGTAGAAAAATTAGGCGTGGCTGAACAGATATGGAGAGAAAAGGGAGATCACCGCCCTCTGTGGGATCACATTGAGATCATAGACAAAGAACACCATTGGAAAATTCGTAAACTTAAGGACTCAGCACATATACTAAGCCACAAAAATCTCCTGAGCCGACCAAGCATAGAAATGAATATAGTATGGGAACCAGTATTGAGTGCCAGAGGAAAAAAAAACGATAATAACAACAAAAATTGCAATATGATTTCTGGTAAAAACATGAAATGATAAAAGCAAAAGTTGCAATATGAGCACTGGTAAAAATTATGGTGAAGACATTAGGTTTATAATACCCAGAAATTCATAAACAAATGTCCTCAAGGACATGACACAGTGGATAAAGACTTTGGTTAGATCCAATGATAGGACCCAAAAAGTGTGAGTTTCTGAGGTAACTTAATAGCTGATAACTGACATCCATTAAAACATGCCACGTGGAACTAGAACAGTCTACCCCAATGAACGAAATAAAGGGTTCAGTTCGACATTCCAAACATCTGAAGAAAGCCGGAGCGTACAACGGCCGAAACGTTGTGATAAATATGGCGACAAAGATGAGGACAATAGTGTGTCTAATCTTTCCACTTCATGTCAGCTGTTAATTAATACTGGAATTACTTAATACTAATTAATATTTATGATTTGAAATAAATACCGATTTGAAAAGTGGTGCTATCAGGAAGTCGGGTGATGGAAATTAGGAACAACGTAGTTCCAAAGAGAGGGTCCTGGGGGTGGGGAACGCCTGCATTAATGCAGAAAGAAGAGTGGCAATTTAAATCAACTTTCTTTTTGCGATTTCATAAGATAATCTGAATAACTTTAAAATTCGTCAACAATAAAATCGAGCAGGTAATTAAGATTACCCTTATCACATAGGGATTATTCTTAGGCAAAAAACGAGCCCCCTCCCACTAAACCACCTCCAGATAATTAGTTAGGTACAGAATCAGATATTTTAGACGACCGAATTCAGAGCTAGGCATCTTCCTAGTCATGTACAAAGCAGACATTCGGTAGATATTACAGCAGATCAAAGATACGGACAAGTTGAATAACAAGCTGCTAATTTTTTTTATGATTATTATTTTTTCTTTGTCGGGGGATATCTTGTGGATTGTTTTCCTATCATATTCCCTTACGTAGTATCCCAAAATTTGGATAGATTTTATACACTAAAGATTCGCCAATCAACAAAAAGAATGACCACTTAGCTTAAAGGGACAATTTTGTTTCTTTACATTTAATTTTTTTCTCTTTTCTGCTCTAATTACCACAACTGCTCAATATTTATTCTCTCTCCCTCCCCATACACGACTCCTAAGTTAAAACATTATTTTTGCCTTAACGTTTTTAGTTGTGAGTTAACTGCGAAATGTTCCGTTTAACAATGGCAGGATATTCATATCGTGAGCAGGCAGATATGATTCTTACATCCGGCCGCTCAAAAGGTAATGGATGCGAGGCTGCACGGAAGTATCAGTTTGTGTTTTCAGACCGAAAGCAGCCGAGTCATCCAACCTTTGCTGCTGTTTATCGCCACTTTGCTGAGACAGAATCCGTGACACCACACACGATGGATCGAGCGAGACTGAGATCCTCTCGTACGCTTGACCACGAAGAACACATTCTACAGGCTGTCCATGTATCAACACACGTCAAGTGGCCCTCACATGTCGTACATCTAATAGTACCGCATGGAGAGGTAGTTCAAGAGCAGCTCCTCTATCCGGATCACTTAAAACGCGTGCAGGTTTTTCGCCCTCTTATCACTCATCCCGGGAGTACTTTTTTGCCGATATTTTATTGCGAAAACTGCCGATCCATTGTTTGTCTCTTCAGTCTTGTTTATGGATGAAGCAACATTTGGAAGAAATGGAATAACAAATTTACTCAGTCAACATTTGTGGGTTGATCGGAATATCCATGATACAATAAAGGCTAGATCAGTTTATGGTTAAACTATGGGCTGGAATTGTAGATAAGTGTCTGCTAGATCCATATTTTCCCCATCACGTCTCACAGGAGCTTTATTTCGAACACACTTCCAGACCTGCTAGAGGATGTACTCCTGCTAATACGAAGATGCAATTGCCTATGCATGATGGTAATCTAAAACATTTTAGTCACATTGTTCGTGATGCAATGGATGACATCTACCATGAAAGATGGATATTTAGAGGAGGACTGTTTCCACTGTTTGCATGTTCCCCCGAACTCAATCATTTGGATTTTTATGCAGCAGATACTAATAATGCATCAACGTGTAGGGGGGTGGTGCTTGCCAAACCATTTGATGGCGTGTGGGAGTATTTAAAAGGGACCACTAGTCAATGATCCAACGAAAGACATTTTCAACATTTGTTATGAGTTGCTGTGTTGAAGTACAAGGATGGTTTTTGGAAATATTTTATAGGGAGATTTTATCTTGTTCTGGTGTCAGGGACCCACCCTAAAAGTTTGTAAAAGTATTTTTGGATAGATAGATAGATAGATAGATAGATAGATAGATAGATAGATAGATAGATAGATAGATATGCAAAGTCTATAAATGGATTATCGATAAGAACATGATAAAAGACTGTTATCATTTCATTCCATAAGTCATGTCAGAAATCTGATAGCGCGATAGTTTGAATTCTAAAGTGTCTAAAAAATAACGATTGATATTATTACGTGCAGGTTCAGTTTGAAAAGCGTAAGTTGCATCGTCATATTACGGTTCACCTATTTGTAGTGCTTGAATATCTCAAAGATAGACGTGTTTATTCAGCACAATAGATATTTAGTATTTATGCAACTGATTTTCACTTGAAAGTATTTACCGATCATATTTTGACATTTTAAGAAATCTTGTCTCCTGCTTTAGTAACGTGTCTAGAACCGGTTCCCCTCGGCAGAAATCATGTTTTCGTTGAAGGATTAATTAACATAATCGTAATCTATCCATCTGACGGTTCATTGCCACCTGCGACAATAGTGAAAGGTGATTATAAAATTGCTACCCCAAGATTTTATAGAAGCCGACTGTAAAGAAAAAGATGACATCTGAACTTCTCTCCAAACCCTTGAATGTATCACACTATTTTGGATAGATTAGGAACTGGTAATAAAAATGGATATTTTGCGAGAATACAAGGCAAAACGCTGGATTAGTTGAGACAGATGAAACATAATTGAAAATGGACCTATATATAAGGAAACTTTCATAATGTTTGGGAGTATAATTTGGACTGTTATGAGTTTCTATCAGTGTTTTGGTTATATCAGATATTTATAGCCAACATTGCAACCCCGACTTATCAAATGCAAATCTGGTGTTATATTTTGCATATATGACTTAAATTTTTTTGAAAACTTCATCTGATAAAAATATATATGCAAACTTCTTATTTTTTCAGACATCGCACCATTTGTTTGCTACTAATTTTGAAGTTTGCGGAATAAGCTTGACTTACTCTATCTTGTCATTTGAATATTTCGATGGTTAATAAAACCTTTGTGCGCGGCTACTATATATGTATTACAGTTCTCTGTCAACTGGAGCAATGCGGGTTGTCATGCAGGATGATCTTCCACGAAGCTGCTACGTTCCTTTTGCCGAAAAACCCGTTTGTCTTTGATCGTCACAGGAACTACAACTTCCCGTAAGAATGGAGCGATTTTTATCGAGGTTAGACTCATCTAGATCCGCCGTGTTCTGTCTATGTCCATTCATATTAACAGGGTTACATCATGAAGAGTGTGACTCTTCGCCACGCTCGGACGGTCATTAACTATAGAGATGCTAACTACAGACTGTGATTGCACAAAAGTGCTTTCAGACGCATCACATAGTGCTGGGTGCATAGAGACCAGTGAAGTACGCCACGGAAGGTCATGTCGGAAAGGTACTACCCCTCTGTCTGGAACCTCTTAACCCTTTAACATTGATCAACTTGTAGATAACTCTGTATGCCATCTGGAGGACCTGCCGACAGTGGTGTCTGACAGAGATGGTTGGAAGGAACGAGTCAGGAGAATCCGAGAAAAATTCACGACCTGATTATGATGATGATGTTGATGATGACTATTTCTTAAAAACCTGAAAAAGTGATAGTGTTTATCCTCAATCGAAAATACTTTTATAAAATTCTATTGAGATGTTTATAAATGACTGGATATTTATTGATAATGATGGAAACTAAGTAAATTCTAATTACGCATTAATTATATATTGCATCTAACTTTGAACATCTAGTATAACCTGATCGTTAGTTAGCTAGATATGAACGAGGTCCGATGGTTCAAGATAGATGGGAAGAACATTTGATAACAATTTATATGTTTGGATAATCTCAGCTCAAACACAAAGCGTTTCCAAAAGAAATTGTGGCAGTGTGTTCTTTTGGTTATATTTTGGGAAAGAAATTTATCGGACATCTTTACTCCATATATCTCATACGATCAGGCTTAGATTAGCATTAACATGGTACCTAGTTAGGTATATGGCGGGTTAAAATATCCTCAGGTATAAGAGGCCAGATAAATCTTATGTATAAAACGCCATTGATATCTTTGAATAAACTTTAAAAATAAACATAATCGCAGACGTGATTGTCTTGTGCCTAAGTAAATTAAACTTATTAAACATGTATCAGTATCGATAGTGTGTATTTATATGTACTTCGTTAGTTTTATTAAGTTGTGACAAAAATTGAGCCATTTGCACACTATCAAGAAAATCTGAGAAGAATATTTGAGATTTATTGATGTCTTTATCGCCTGTCCAATCGACTAAATATGTCAGAAAAAATTAGGGAACTAAAACACTGGATTTAAATGAAACATTAACATTTCAGTTAGTGTCTAAACTAGTTTTTCTCTTGTTAATCCCAGAAAAACTCAGTTTAGGAATATATAACCATTGCATTTGAAGAATGGATCCATTACGAAAATTCAAAACAAGGAGAATCTTGAATTTTCTTGATGGAAAAGCTCCTTTTTGGTAGATTTGTGTCAGTTAAAGAATATTTTATAATGTGATTTACTAATACATTGAAAATGGTTACTACACAAAGTTACAGTAAGAAGGATATTTTTTTAGTTTGAATGATGCATTGCAAAATAAAAAAGACATTTCTTTTACAACCCGCTGATTCTCAAGACCAGTCAGCTTCAGGTTATCGTTTACCTCATTTAATTTAACAAAAGTCTGCTCAACATTTCCGACAAGCCATAGATAGCTGAAATTCTTTGACAAATTCATCAAAATTGGAATTGTTTTCTTACGATTGAATAGACAGTTTGACTGAAACTGCAAGAATTAAACCGATTTTTATAGTACAAGTTCAAAGAAAGCCAGAGGTTTATACTAATGACTTAATAATGATTTCGATAAATAATGGCTTTTGTCAAAATTCTGAAAACATGAAGCGTTTGCATGTAGACCGGAAGGAATTTGTTTTCGTGTCTACATTTCGATATGAACTCTGATCTTTAATTCTCTTCTAGGGAAAGGCTATTTTGGAAAGGTTTTTATAGCTGCTACTTTTTTTTCTTATTTTTCCACAAGGAATGATTTGTCTGAAGATAGCGGTGAGGAAATAAACAGATAGCCATGCTTACATTTTCTACATATCAAATATTGTAGCCATTTTATTGTCCGAATGACAAAGTGTTTATAACAACAATGATGGACATAATAGTCGGCATGTAATTAATGTAAATAAGGATAATTCCTCATCCCAGAAAATCAGACAGAAGTTGTCTATATTTAACATGATCTATGTCAGATAATGAGCAATATTCTTCTTTAAATATTGTACATTTACAATCTATCTATCTATCTATCTATCTATCTATCTATCTATCTATCTATCTACATACGTGTGTGTGTGTGTGTGTGTGTGTGAGCGCGCGCGCGCTCGTGTGTGTTTGTGCCTGTGTGCGACAAAAAATGGGGGAGGGAGAAAGTGTAGGCAATACGCATTAAGGATTATGTTAGTGGGATATAAATTTAAATTTACGCTTCATATTTTACATATAGGTATGCATGTCTGAGAGACTGCAAGAGAGATATATATGGCTGCGAGGTCATGTTTAGTGTTATTTTATAAGTTTGACGACATCCCCAAACTCAACAGAACATTTTTTTTCTTTATACTTCTATAAAGTCAACTTTATTCCTTTTTAACTTTATTTTGCTAAGAATAGTGTGAAGAAATCCGATGATAAAAGTACATTTGACCGAAACTCTTCTTTTTGGTAGCAATTCATTACAGGTCACAGCTCTTCACATCTTCTTTTGTTACTCTAATGTTTTAGCTATTACCACCCTCCTTATCTATGTACTTTAACCAACACACAAATTCGAAAAGTTTTTATTAGCTTTTAGCATGGCTTTTCTTCCATTCACCGTACCCTGTGAATGTTCATTTATGTATGACCTATTTCCTTATTATCTTTCCAACTTATTTCAACTCTCTCTTTCCTATCATAAGTTTATCTTTTTACATATCTCAAAGTCTATTGACAAGTTGTAGCATAGTGGATTACTACATAAATCACCAGCTATAAAATATTTAGAAATGTCTTCGCAAAATGTCAACGCGTGCATGTTGATGACGAATTCTTTTCTATTTTAGAACTCCTTTTGCAAGTGTCTCGCTGCTCTCTGGCTATTTCGATAGAATTTTTTCAGCTCAATTATATTCCTTAGTTCCGTCAGTTCTAACCTAAGACACGGTATGTCACAGACATGATAGTGAACCACCAACATTCCCTTCCTTCCCAAGAGGATGCTTCCTCGATCGCTACAATCTTAACCTGTCCAAATCTCGGGTTAACTCTTATCTTTCTCACATATTCGCATAGACAGTGCTCCTTATTCTGTAATCCTCTACCTCGAGTGGCTATCCGGTATTGTACAGGGTGAACATCAATGTAAAATAAAACATATCAAATCTTTATTCTCAGGTAGTCCCATGAAGGTAATTGTTAATGGCTAGTATTCGGAAGGGGTTATCCTTCAGTCCTATCCTTTTTCTCGTTTTTTCCTGATCTAGCGAGAAACAGCTTCCAAATTATGAAGATACTATCACAATTTATGCGTGCAAAATCTAAAGGTAATCAGATGCTGGCAATGGATACTTTCTGAGACGTTGCTCTAAAAGTACAATGAGTGGGGGGGGGACTAGTGTGTAACCTTAAATACACAACCAAGCGGTTTTATGTAAATAAAATTTACAGATTTCTGTGTATTTGATTTTTTTTTCAAGTCGCTTATGCGCTTTTGAAATTATTAAAATATTTTAGATGTAAAATACATTTTAAAGCGATTTTATGTAACTGAAAAAAATAATTTGATGACCATAATATTTTAAAATCATTCTTCTGTATTATAAAGACTTTTTTAGATTTTGTTGAATGAAGATTTTTACTGGCATTCTATTGAGATGCCTATAGAGGCATACATAAATATTACCACGCTAGAAGGAAGTCACTTTACTTAAACACCTAGCAATTTAATAATAGAATTTCTCAATAAAATATTTACTTATATATAAAGATCACAAAAGACGAGATTTGAAATGAATTACTAAGCACATATTTTAAAATCAGCTTGAACCAGTTTGGTAATGATCACTAGATTCATTTCTTCAACAAGGAAGTTCCGCCCATAGAACTGCTATTCACTGGAATCTTTATTTTTCTGGCCAGATACTTGTGCATGCAAGTCGTCGAAGATCAACAGCTTTTGAAATATTCAAGGCCGTCGAGCAGCAACGAGCACTCAAATTAACTTTCTTCCCCATAATATTGAATGAAATAAAATTCATTATGCCAGTACGACAATGCTTAAATGCATATATCCATTAAATTGATGGCAAGTTATTTACTATGCAGAAATTTGAATAAAAGTGTATTTGTTCATGTATACTTAAATAAGTGGCCATTGTGTGCATATACATATTTAAACTCTAAGTAAGAACCTAAATTCTGTCTTTTTAGGATAGTGTAGAATAAGAAAAAATTGTTTAAAATGAAGAACATTTATTATTTAGCCTCAAAATTACAAATTCTCAGTATCGTAGACATTTCGTGCGGCACACTTACCGAAAATATTTATCCACTTTCCATTGGATCGACTGAAACCAATTTTCTGGTTTAGTCTTGATTCATGCGTGCTCAGCACCATCTTTAGCATTGGAAGTAACCACAATAAGCAATGGTTTGGAGATATAATTATATTAGTAGAGAGAAAAGAGAAAATAAACATTAGAGAAAGGCTCCTCTGTGACAGGCCAGCTGTTGTTTTGAAGTTCCTTTAATTATAGTAACGTGAAGGATGCATCTTGAATAGACAAAAATCATACAAACCCTTCGACCTGGTGTATATATATATATATATATATATATATATATATATATATATATATATATTCCCTCAATGAAAAGTTGAATATAACAATTGAGGATATTGATACTATTATTTAGATTATTATTAATAAATAGATTAGATATATTTTCTCAAGGTATTTGAATTCCTTTTGTATGAGTTGAGTGATTTTCTGTTAAAAATATTTTATGATTAAAGAACTATCGTTACTTTTTGACAGAAACTTCTACATATGCATCGAAATATCATTACATCTAAGTTATAACGAACATTGTCTTATCTTGTCTCTAACTGGCCTGAATGCTTGTTTTGTATGTATGTACAGACAAGTGAAATTGAATATCATTCACCTGGAAAAGGCAGGAAAAAGGAAATGCCACCGTTTTTTCGCTTCATATACACAACCTCCTTTTATCCTCCTTCTATCTCTTTCATAAACATGAACGTAAAAGTATATACCAGGACACCA